GCTGTGCGTGCACTGTCCTGAGTGAGCTGCTGTGCGCTGTGCGTGCACTGTCCTGAGTGTGGTGCCATGCGCTGTGCATGCACTGTCCTGAGTGTGCTGCTGTGTACTGTGCACGCACTGTCGCTGTGGACATCTGCGCAGCTAATGGGCAGTGGCTGCTGAGCCTCAGTGGTCTTCAGAACTGGCTGGCACGATGTCATCCTTGTCATCTTTTCCTATGGTGGGCAGCAAACATTATGTCAGTTGGCCAATATGTAGCATAGGATTTTAAATAATAGGCTGAACTTTATGTATTTACCATAGAGCTTTTAATGCAGATGAAGCAGCCACCGACTTGAAGCTCTCTGGACAAGCTCCCACTACCACTAGTTGTCCTTTTGTTTTCTCTGTGGCCCTTGTTAATCACAAAAGCTTAGCAATCTGGCTTCCTCTAAGCACTGTGTAGACTGATTCCCCCAACTGCTTCCCCTTCAGCAGCTGCCCCAAAGCTAGGACTGAACTCACATGGCCCGGGTGGGTCGGTGTTTCTCATGGGCACACCTACCATGCTGGAGGTGCCCACCCACCACATGCTGGGTGGGACCCTCTGAGCATACCTTTTTCCTGTCAGGACGGGCCACAGGCTGTTTTTGCTCCAGGACTGTCCCAGCCCTGGGACAAGGTCAAGTTGCCCATTACTTGTGTGTCCCGTAACCTCTGGCACAACTCTCAGGGCACTTCCTGGCTCTGTGTTCATGTGTGTCTGTGTACAAGCATCGAGAAACACACCCACACATTTCCTGGTGGCCTCTGGACTTTGGTGTTTCAAATATCTTTGGGTTGAGCCTGTTGCATATCTCTGCCACCTCTGTCAGGCTGCTCTCTGTTTTAGAAGCCTGTTGGAGTTTGAGTCTGGTGGGTGGCAGATTGTGCCATGTCTGTCCTGTGCCTTGTGTCCTGTCCTGCTGGGGCTCATGCCCACCTGTCTTTCCTGAGAGGTTCCTACAACCCAAGCTCCACTGGGTGTGACCGTAGGGACCACTACCTTCAGTTGCTGGGGTGTTTTGGGGTAGACATTTTGTTCATTGAGGAAGCCTGGAAACCAATTCCTGAGATGTAATTGCCACCCCCACTTCCAGCCCTCTCCACCTGCCAGCTCCAGGGGCTGCAAATGAAGCCTGGGGGTGGGTGGGTGGGTGCGGTCTGGCACCTGGGGAGCAGGCCCTGGGAGGGAGCCACTGCTGTGGAATTTGTGCCCCGAAGCCTCAAATGCTGCTGCTGATAGCGGGCCCAGTTTCCAAAGTAAACAGGTCTGAGTGTGAGGACACATGACCAGGCACAGCTCTTTCCACAAAGTCAGGAGACAGCGTGATGCAGGCTCTAGGCTCTGCAGGCAGTCAGTGGCCTCGTCCTTATTGCTGCTACAGGCAGGTGGCCTGGGGGAGCCTGGTGCCTGTTGGTTGGGGCTCAGAAAGCACAGTCAATCTGGGGCCCCTCAGACTTGGCTGCACAGTGGGGCTGTCCCCAGCTCCAGGGGCTGGGGAGTGGGGACAGCATAAGTTATCAAAAGAGGTATGACTTGCCCATGCCTCAGAGGAGCTGTGTGGCAGCGACTTGCCCGCTCTGAGTGCTCAGTAGGATGGGTAGGCTGAGGGCTCAGTGCTGGTGGGGATGTGGTAGGAGGATTGGGAGCTGCCGGCTTCTGGGGCTCAGTGTATGGGGTGGGGTCACTGTGTGACCTTGAGGAGGTCAGTGGCAGAGAGGACCATTGCCATTTCTCTCCAATCCAGAAAATGAGCCCTGGGTGAGATCCCACTAGACGCCCAGCTCTGGCCACCTTGGGCCCTGTTTATCTGCGGTCACAAAGTAAAGTTGTCCCTTCATTTAAAAACAAAGTCAAGGCTCGGCGCCTATAGCTCAACCGGCTAGGGGGCCAGCCACATACACCTAAGGTGGCGGGTTTGAGTCCCCAGCCCGGGCCCGCCAAAACAACAATGACGGCTGCAACCAAGGAAAAGATGGCCGGGCGTTGTGGCGGGCACCTGTGGTCCCAGCTGCTTGGGAGGTGGAGGTAGGAGACTCGCTTGAGCCCAGGAGTTGGAGGTTGCTGTGAGCTGTAATGCCACGGCACTCTGCCCAGGGGGACAGCTTGAGGCTCTGTCTCAAAAAAAAAAAAAAAAACAAAGTCAAAAGCCAGCAATTTGCCATCCCCATGGGCTGAAGTGTTTGCCAATGTAGCCCCCCAGCCCCTCCATGCCTACTGCTGCTCTTGTTATACTTGGCGACAGCTGAGACTGTTCCTATAAGGCCAGGATGTGGGTGTGTGTGCACGTGTGCACATGTGTACATGTGTGGAGGTGGTGGCCAATGGTCACCCCCACCCCAGCTGCCACATGTATGTACATGTGTGCATGTGTGCACATGTATGCATCCGTCTGTGCATGTGTACCTGTATATATGTGTGCATGTGCACCTGTGTGCATGTGTATGTGTGCACATGTGTACATATACATGTGTGCATGTGTGTGTATGTGTGTACCTGTGTGTGCATGTATGTATGTGCAGGTGTACCTTTGTGCATGTATGTGTGTGCACATGTGTACATGTGTGTGTACATGTGTGTGTTCACCTGTGTGTGCACATGTGTGTGAATTTAAGAGTCTGGTGCATCTGAGGTTCCCATGGAGTCTCCCTGCAGGACTCAGACACTGGCTGCTGGGTGGCAGGAACCCAGGCTGACTGCTAGGACTCACCTGCAGGACTCACTCACAGGGCTCCCCTCCTCACTCTCCAGATTGTGGCCTTGCCCCAGTGGGCTCTGCTCTCATCACAGACCCAGAGCCACACCATGGAGGAACCAGCTTCTCTTCCCAACAGTTCCAAGCACAGTGTGGGGATCTAGACCCTGTGACAGGACTGCTCCCCTTGCCCCCACAGCCTACGAGAAGCGATGCCCTGAGTGTGGGTCTGGCCAGAGTCTGTCCTGGATTGGGGAGGGGACTGGTCAGGGAGGTGGACATTACCCAACTCCATGTGAGGCGGGAGGAGCCATTGGCCACCAGGTGTGGAGTGTGCCCATGTGCTCGCGGAGAGATGCCACTTGCTAACCAGCAGTTCCTCCCACAGAACACTCCAGGCCACTGGGATACCACTGGGTGACTGCCTCACATTGTTGAAGCCACAAGGTCCCGCTTCCACCAGGCACAGAGATGCCCCAGCACTCGATGGGGGACAAACCCTTTGTCTCGATGCTGCCACTCCCCTTCCCCAGTCCTGCGTCAGCACTGGAAAATGGCATCGAGCACACCCTGCCCAGCAGAAGGATGTCCCTGGGCTCACCCCTGAGCCCTGGCTCCCTGCACTCTGCCACCCACAGCCCACTGGACACCTGCAGCCAGCCCCTGTGTGACTCTGAGAAGCACAGTGCCCAGGCGGCCCATGAGGTGCCCTACCTCTCGGCTGGGCCACAGAGCACAGCGTGTGGCTGGTTGGCCTTCACACCCATGTGCCTACAGGCCTTCAACACGCCCAAGGGCTTCCTGTTCTTCCTGTGCGCGGCCTCCTTCCTGCAGGGCATGACCGTGAACGGCTTCATCAACACCGTTATCACCTCCATCGAGCGCCGCTTTGACCTGCACAGCTACCAGAGTGGGCTCATCGCCAGCGCCTATGACATTGCCGCCTGCCTCTGCCTCACCTTCGTCAGCTACTTTGGGGGCAGCGGGCACAAGCCACGCTGGCTGGGCTGGGGTGTGCTAGTCATGGGTGCCGGCTCGCTGGTGTTCGCTCTGCCCCACTTCACCACCGGTCACTATGAGGTGCGGGAGGACGCATGGGTGGCGTCGTGCCCGGCCAACCGGAGTGTAGCATGCGGGGACAGCACCTCAGGCCTGTCCAGCTACCAGCTGGTCTTCATGCTGGGCCAATTCCTGCACGGCATTGGCGCCACACCCCTCTACACACTGGGTGTCACTTACCTGGACGAGAATGTCAAATCCAGCTACTCGCCCGTCTACATTGGTGAGTGGGGCTGGCAGGGGTGGGAGCATGGGCTGGCCAGTGATCACAGGGTGGTTTTGGCAGGATGGACGATGACCAGGGAGCTGTCTGATCTCCCATGTGGGCTCATTTCCACCCAAGCACCAGGGGTGACGGTGATGCTGCCCTTCTTGCCAGGAACCTCAGCTCCAGCACTGCACACAGGGCATGGCTGGCCTTTCGGGGACCGAGGGGCATGGCTGTGATATGGGGTGGTGCCCAGGTCTGCTCCTGCAGGAGCCTCCTGTTTAGCTGGGAGGAGTTTTATGTGGATCAGTAATGGGGGACAGAGCCCCTGACCACATCCACCTCCCTGGAGCACATCTGCCAGATCCGGCTGCACAGGACTGGAAAGGTGGAAAGACCAGGGAGACTCACTGCCCTGAGGGGGAAAAGCAAGCAGCTCAGGCCCATGGGTCACAATCACCAGAGTTTTGTGTCCAGGCCCAAGGGGCTGCATGTCCCACGGTCCCACTCTCCTGCTGGTGAAAGGCAGGGAGACCCTCTCTGCTTTGCCACCCACCCCCACTCCTGTGTGTTCCTCCTGCCTGGCCCTCCCAAGGGCACCTCAGTGACGGCCACAGAGGGCCTCTGGCCAGATTTTCCTCACATGCCCCTTGAGCTCTGTCCATCTCAGCCATTGGCAGTGCCATCTCCAGGACCCAGGGCACACTGAGAATCCCGTCACTCCAGGGAGGGGATGGTCCGCCATGCTGACCCTTCCAAACTGAATGCGGGGCTGCTGGGTCGGATTGCTGGGTCCCAGCTCTGGGGCCCTTCCCTTTCTCCCTGGGCATGTCCGTGGTTCTTCTCGAGAGTCCACATGGCATGTGAGGTTGGCTTTGGGGAAGTTTTAAAAAGTTTAACACTGACCAACATCAGACCCCATGGAGGCTGCACAGGAGGGGGCCTCTATTCAGAGGTGGGCTCTGTAGCGCCCCCCCCACCTCCCTCGGGGCCCAACACCTCTCTTCCCTTCCAGCCATCTTCTACACTGCGGCCATCCTCGGGCCAGCCGCCGGCTACCTGATTGGAGGCGCCCTGCTCAACATTTTCACAGAAGTGGGCCAACGGTGAGTGACTGCAGGCACACCCTCCGCCTGTCCCTCAGCACTGCAGAGCTGAGAAGTCCTGTCTGCAGAGAAGTCCTCCATGTCCCTGAGTGCGGCTCTGATGAGTGGGGGGCGTTTTGCCGCACGCAGCATGGGTGCTGGGCCCCCGCAGGAGGAAGTCCGGGGCTGGCCAGGCCCTGCAGGACTCTGTGGTCCGTGGGTGGCCTTGGGAGCTTGGCCTGGCAGAGGGGGCAGGGCAGACAGATGGTGGCCGGAGGCCCCAGTGCTTCAAAGCCCAGCCAGCCCTGGCCACTCGCTCTAAGTGAACTGAGATTCTTTTGTGTCTTTCATTTCCTTGTATCTTTTGTTTGTGGTGCCAGTTTTTATAAATTTTCAGGGAAAGCGGAAAAAAAAAAGAGGGAGGGAGAGAGGACAGAGGGAGGGACAGAAAGACATAGAGAAAGTGAGGGGGAGAGAGAGAGTGACACAGTGACAGAGACAGACAGTGACAGAGAGATAAACAGAGAGACAAAGAGGGACAGAGAGATACAGAGAGACAGGGACGGAGAGAGCCAGAAATAGAGACGGAGAGACAGACAAGGGCGGGGAGAGGACGCCATGTGCCCTTGCTGACCCTGCAGGCTCTGGAGGGTCCGTCTTTGCCCCTCCGTGTGCGGTGCTCCTGTTAGGCTCTCCTGACTGCCCACTGAGATGTGTCCTGGGCACCACTACACCTCGGGCCTCTTTCTGCAGATGGCGCCTCTCGTCGGGGCTTCTAGTTCTCTGACCTCTTGTAAAAGCCTCCTCTGGCCTCGGGCTGATAACACGGGGCCAAGCGTGCACGTTCTGTGCAGAGAGCCTGGAGGTAGGTCGGGGCTTGCGGCCTTAGATCTGGACGCTTCTCTCACTGTCCGCCATGTCCGCTCCGGCTCTGGGATCTGGGCCCACTTTGCACACCTGAAGGGGGGTGGGGGCAGAGCCAGGGCCTGGCCCTGGAGGTGGCCGCGGCATTAAAGTGCTAGAACAAGGTTCCCATGATGGCTAGTTGCGGCCTCGTGGGTGTTGACGCTCCCTGCGTCCCTTCTGTCCCTTCCACCTCTCTCTGCTGTTCTTTTCTCAGCCACCTCCTGCCTGCGATAAGCATTCCCAGCAGCCTGGAGCTGGGACAGACTCTTACTGTTCTCTGTGGCTGCCTGATCTGATAGGTTCTTTCCCGCTTGCTTACAACCTAAGAGCGCACGTGTGTGCAGATCTTACGAGCCTTAACAGTCCCTTTGCAGGGAGCTCCCGGAGTGCTCCAGCTGGGCTCTCTGTCCCCAAGCTTCATGAGGCCCTGGGGACACCATCTGTCACCCTCTGCACTGGTGGGGAGGCACACCTCACCCTGCTGTTGCTTGCAGAGCAGCGTCCCCCCACAGCCCTGCCGTGGTCCGTCTGAGGACCAACTGAGGGCAGTGTCCTCAGGTCCAACAGACAGGTCAGGTGTGGAGCGTCTGTCCTAAGTATCCCAAGCTAGGGTGCAGCAAGTAAGGGGTGTGACTATGGCCAGCGTTGCTGTAGGCCTGCATCAATTATGCAGAAGGACTCTGGAGGTCTCCTCGGTTACCCAGTGTGTGTACCATGGAGGACATGGTAGCCACATGCTGACCTAAGTGCCACTGCTTCTCTTGACAGAACGGAGCTGACCACTGAGAGCCCACTGTGGGTGGGTGCCTGGTGGATTGGCTTCCTGGGCACAGGGGCTGCCGCTCTCCTCATTGCCATTCCCATCCTTGGCTACCCCCGCCAGCTGCCAGGTGGGTTTCTCTGCCCCAGCCCAGCCCCGCATCATGGAGCCCACCTCAGTCCCGGGAGGCCGGGACACTCCCTTTCCTGCCCTGTCCTGGTCCCTGCCATGCATGAGGCTGCAGCAAACCCACTTTCTGTCCAGTGGACCCTTTGATCTCAGTCTTCCACTTGGCCATGGGGCAGAGCAGGCCTGTCCACTGTGTGCAGCCGTCCTCGTCCCAGGGCCTCTCCTCTGCCCTAGCAGCGTCACCTGTCAGGCCTTGGAACAGGCTTATACCAACCAGAGTGGGGCTGTCAGCTTCTCCTTCCCGATGGTCCTGTGTGTGGCTGTCACTTAGGCTTCTCACCTCTCACACAGTTTCTGTCTCAGACTCAGGATGGGGAGGAGTCCGGGGCAAGTCCTCTAACTGGCCATGTGTCCTCTAACTGACCATGTGTCCCTCCAGGCTCCCAGCACTACGTGGTCATGAGAGCATCAGAAACGCAGCAGCTGAAAGTTGACAGTTGCAAGGCTCAGAGCAACCCGGATTTTGGGAAAACGATCCGAGACCTGCCCCTGTAAGGATGTGGGGGGGTGGTGGGGGTGGCGGGTGAAGGCAGGGAGTGGGGGAAGGCCACACCTGTGTCCTCAGCCCTCCAAGGGCCCCACCTGGGAGAGGCAGTGTGATCCCTCCAGGGTCCATGGGGAAGGCCTCTGTCATGACCCTGGAACTTGGGCTAAAAGATTAAGGAGCAACAAATACAGTCTCCTGGGTCAAGGGCCCCAGACCCTGGATTAGGGCAGTAGCTGCTGTGGTCAGCCCAATGGGGCCAGGGGTCCTGGGCCCATCCTCTGTGGAGGCTCCTGGGGCTACACTAGCTCCTGTGACCATGGAGCAAGTCTTGTCCATGCCAGTGTCCCCTTCAGACTGTGTGTCCCAGGGATCACCAAAGAAGCTGATCCAACCCTGAGACCCTTTCCTGAGTGACCCCATTGAGCAACCCCAGCCCCCTCCACTGCCATTCATTAGGCCTCTCCTGCAGGTGTGCCCATGGTGGGGCGCACAGAGAGGTCTTTGAAGACCAGAGAAGAGCAGCCCTGCCTGCAGTCCAGCCCCATCCTTGGGTAGTTATTGGCCTGTCTGCCCTTGCTCTGCCCTTTCTGGTCTTGCTTTGGCCTCTTCTCACACTGTGGAGACAACCCAGGGCCCCAGGCTGTTGGAGTCTTAGAGAGAAAGTGCAGGGGCGGGGGACCTAGGTCTCTCCTCTGTATTGAGCTCTCCCCAAAGTTCATGTGCCCACCAGCACATTCCTGAGGCCATGGTGGTTACATGGGGGTGAAGAGCTGTGGGTAGTGGGGTGGAAGGGGCAGGGCCCAGGGCCACCAGCAGAAGCCCCAGTCTGTCCACTAAGCAGGGGTGAGGGGCCTCCCAGGGCTTTTCTGGGTGGCTTTCCACCTCCTGTCAGACCCCAGAGAAACTAGGAACTGCCCCACAAGGAGCGGTGACTCATGGGTCAAGCTGCCAAGGGCCATGGTGGCCAAGGGTTGCTGGCACATCCTAGAGACGGCCAGCCTGGCCCTCCTAACACTTGGTACTGCCAGAGTGGCAGGTCCTGAGCCTGGTCACCATTGTGGACATGGGGACCCTGGGCCTCTGCCACTTCATTTGGTGACAAGTAGGTCTACACCCAGGTTAGCTCCTTGAATCAGAGGCTGGCAGTACATAGATTTGGGTCATGCTGCCTGCCCTCCATCAGAGCCATTACTGAGTCTTCGGGTGGACTCAGCACAAGAATTTCACAGAGCAGCCTATAAGCTGGGATTAGCAAATGAAGAAGTTTGCACACTAACCCCTGCCCAGCTGAGCAGCCTGGAGCCCAGGCAGGCTCTCTCGCTTCTGTCTAGAAAGCACCGTTGAGCTGTAGGTGAGGGTAACAGGGCCACTGGGGATGTGAACAAAGGAGGCACCACTTTCAATGTCCCCTCCCGAGGAGTGGGCACTCAAAATTTATTGCCCAAATGTGCTTTATGATCAGCAGAAATGATGCTGAATCCTGGACGTGGTGACCCCTGCCTCCCCCAACCAGCTCCCTAGTCAGCAGCATTGCCACAAGGAATGATTGAACAGGGCCTTAGACCACGTGGGTCACTCCTACTTAAAGCAGGGGCGGCTGAGGCTGTGATTAGGGTCTTCCATACCCAGTTACAGTGTTCAGGACAAGTGGCCACAGGCTTGGCCACTGCCTGCCTGCCTAAGCCCAGCCTTGCAGCCCAGCTGGGCTCTCTGCACCCCACTTCACTCCCTCCCAGAACTGGGGCCCTGTGCTCAGGGGAGGAAGCTACGGTCTGGGAACAGTGGTTCCCTCACACCCTGGATCTGGCCCGCTCTGACCCTCTGTCTCTTCTCTCTGGTCTCCATGCTGCTCCCCTGTCCAGCTCCATCTGGCTACTCATGAAGAACCCCACGTTCATCCTCCTCTGCCTGGCGGGGGCCACTGAGGCCACACTCATCGCTGGCATGTCCACATTTGGCCCTAAGTTTCTCGAGTCCCAGTTCAGCCTGAGTGCCTCCGAAGCTGCCACCTTGTTTGGTGAGAAAACTGAACCTGGGTCCTCTGCTTTCTCCTTAGTTTCCAGATGAGTTGGGGTCTTCAGAACATCTTCTAGAAAGACCCAGATGGGGCACACAGGGAGGCAAGGGGACCAGCCCTGGGTACAGGTGCTGAAGACGCCTAGGGCTCTACCAGGGGTGTGAGGAGCCACACAGCGCTGCCTGCTGGGAAGGCAGGACTGCACCTCCAAGGGTGTGGTTTGGGAAATGCCATTACAGTCACTGACCACTGACCGGGTGGGAGGGCCAGGGGTGGGCTCCACCACTCACCTGGCCTCAGCCTCTGAGATTTTCTCCTGGAAGGTTTGTCCCTGTCTGTGCCTGTACGCTGGGGGGCAGCTATCCCAGGGCCTGCAGAGGGTGGGCCCCTCCTGAGAGATGTCTGTGGGTCCACCATCAATCCTATGCCACCTGGTGACATGCCTGCTGGGAAGGGCTATGTGGGGACCCACCCTTCAAGGGTCTATTCTCTGGACACTCCCCCACTCTCCCTGACTTGCATGGTCCCTCCAGGCTGACCCCACACACAGACCCCTACCTAGGACAACTCCCTCTCAGAATCCTCCCTGTCCTGCCTCCTCCCCCTGCCCCAGGGCTCACCTCCACCACCTGTGGGGAGCCCCACCCCACCCCCACCTGCCCCCATCACTGGGTGTCTGGAAGCTCAACTCAGCTTTGTGCCAGAGGCCAGTGGCTGCAGGGACTCAGCAGGGACTGAAGTGGCCAGGAGAGTGTGGTTGCCCTGGGGGACCACCAAGGCAGTGACTAGCTTTCGCATTAGGGCTGGGGCTACTGGGCCCTCCTTCTCTGGTCCTGGCCTGCCCCTGTGGCCTATGGCCTTTGGAGTATCCTCTCTGCAGGCCGCTGGACAGGGCCCGAGGGGGCTCTGCCTGCACAGCAGCTGAGGCTCAGGCTCAGGGTTGAGCACTGCCAGGGGGGCTTGAGCCCTCTGTGGCTCATTTTCCCCACCTGCTTGGGGGCTTCCAGAGTCCTGCTAAGTCCCACCTCTCCCCAGGGTACCTGGTGGTGCCAGCAGGTGGCGGCGGAACCTTCCTGGGTGGCTTCTTCGTGAACAAGCTCAAGCTCCGTGGCCCTGGGGTGGTCAGGTTCTGCCTGCTGTGTGCCCTGGCCAGCCTGCTGGGCATCTCTGTCTTCTCCCTGCATTGCCCCAACGTGCCCATGGCAGGCGTCACGGATGGCTACGATGGGAGGTGAGGGCCAGGTGGCACCTGGGTAGGGGGAGGCCCCTGAACACCAGCAGCCCTTGGGAATGGGTCGAAACAGTCTGGGCTTAGGTCATTTCTGGAAAGGGTTATGATAGCACACCGCCAGCAAGGGCAGTGCCCTCAGCGGGCACCCACCTCCCTAATGACCGTTCACATGGATGACACCTATGGAGTGCCCCAGTTCAAGTCCAACTCTGTCCCAGGGAGGGTCTCATCCCTTTCTCGGCCTCAACCGTCTCCTCTGTAAAATGAAACAATCACAGCCCAGCTCACAGGGTCCTAGGAGCGTCCCCGTGTGGACATGGATAGTGGCCCAGGGCTGGCTCCTGGCTGCTGCCATGTGGGAGGACTGTGAGAGCCACCCAACAGGCAGGAGGGAGGCCCACGTGCAGCACACAGACTGAGCCCTGGCCTGAGCTTATTACCCAGGAGCTCATGCTACAGACTGACTCTGTGGCTGTGGCCTGTGACACAGGGAAGCACAGAGGCCCCTGTAGCACTGTCAGACATTACAAGCAGCGAAAGGGATAAGGGATGTGGGGTCAGAGGCAATGTGTCACACACTCTGGGTGGTGTGAGCTTAAAGAGTTTGCAGATGCAGAGAGCTTGCTGGGTAGGGACAGGCCATGCTGTGAGGCTGCCCTGTACCTGCAGGAGCCCATGTGCCCGGCCTGGGTCCCATTTCCCCTTCCCCCCACAGCCTGTTGCCTGAAGGACACCTGAACCTCACGCTGCCCTGCAATGCAGCCTGCCACTGCCAGCCAGAGCAGTACAGCCCCGTCTGTGGTTCGGACGGCCTCACCTACTACTCGCCCTGCCATGCAGGATGCCCTGCAGCTGCTGAGACCAACCTGGGTGGCCAGAAGGTGAGTGGGACACTGCCCGCGGCCCCGACCCCCACCCAGAACCTGGGAAGGGGCCCTTGCTCCTTCCTCCTGTAATCAGCGCTGTTGTTGGGCTCCTCAGGTGTACCAAGACTGTAGCTGTCCTCAGAATTTTTCCTCTGGTTTTGGCCATGCCACTGCAGGGAAATGCACTTCAACTTGTCAGAGAAAGCCCCTCCTTCTGGTTTTCGTATTCGTTGTAATTTTCTTTACATTCCTCAGCAGCATTCCAGCACTAACGGCAACTTTACGGTAAGCCAAGGGTTTTGCTTTTCTCCGGCACCTTTTCTTGCAGCCCTGGAAGGTGGAGCTCTGCAGATCCTGTGAAAGGGCTGGGGACACACCTGGCCCCTGCAAAGCAGGCCTGTCTGTCTCTGACCTCTGGCGAGGTGCTGGCCACCTAGGGAGGTGGTGATGTGGCCAGGGGCCTGGCCAGAACCCAGCTGCTGGCATGGGGATGTGACTTGGCGTGCAGCCCCCTCGTGTGGGTACCCATGCTGCGGCTTTCTTTTGCAGGTGTGTCTGTGACCGGCAGAGATCCTTTGCCCTGGGAATCCAGTGGATTGTGGTTAGAACACTAGGTACTGTGTGCCAGGAGGGCCATGGCCAGTTGGGCAGTGAAAACACTGCATAAGGGCACCCAGTAGGTGTCTCGTCCCCCCTGGGGTGTGCATGCCAGCACCTGGCCATGTCCAGCTGGGAAAGGGTTTCATTCCCTAAGCGACCACTAGAGGGGCCCATCGTCATTGGTTTGCCCAGAGGGTTTCTTTTCCTTGGAGATCATGGGAACTCCCAACCAGACTCCACATTCCCAGAGAAAGGAACACTGAAATCCCCTTTCCCTGTGAAAACACCATGGCCAGTATCACCTTCCCAGAGCTGTTCCAGGTCCACCACTGCCCTGTCCACCCTGAGTCAGGTGCTGAGTGAGCGTGTCTCCGCAGGGGGCATCCCAGGACCCATCGCCTTTGGCTGGGTGATCGACAAGGCGTGTCTGCTCTGGCAAGACCAGTGTGGCCGCCAAGGCTCCTGCTTCGTGTATCGAAACGCAGCCATGAGCCGCTACATGCTCGTCGTGGGGCTCCTGTACAAGGTGAGTTGGGCCTCGGGGAGGGATCCGAGAGTCAGCTCCCTGGGTGGGAGGGCAATTCTTCCCCCAACGGCTCTGGCTTTGGGACACCCAGGGGCTTTCTTTCTGTGGCTCTAATCACAGCCCCAGGTCACCTGCAGATTCATGACACATGGTGGCCACAGTAGGAGAGGGAGGAGGCCTGGCCTAGGGTCATCTTCTGGGCTCAGTCTGAGCCCCAGCGCCCCCCGCCCAGGCCTTGGGAGCAGTGCCCTTTCCCTGCCTTTGGAGTGTCCCTTCAGCAGTGTGGCCCTGGCTATTTGCCTGGTGGCACCTGTTAGCTGAAAGTTTGGGGGAAATAAAAATAAGCTCTTTCTGAACAAGCAGCTTCCTGGGCCTGCCTTCCTGCCCAGAGCCCTTGGTCTTGTCACTGTCCTGCCGTGTGTTTTGAGACCCTGTCACTGAACCTGGCCCTTACTTCTCAAACTGTGGGGAGAAACCTCCTGTCCTAACTCTTGGCATGCACTACCTAGGAAGAAACACAGCATTTACATTTTTTATTTCCTCATTAGAAGAAAGAAAGCACAAAACCTTCAAAACACAATGAAATCTCAGGACCTGTCACTTAGAGGGTCTCAAGGCCCCTCCCTGGGGCAGCAGACACCCCAGTGCAGCTTCCAGCTTCCAGCCCCCAGCCCAGGTGCTGTCCAGGAGGGAGCTGCCTGAGGGAAGGGGAGACCAGCTGCCTGTCTCCCCTGGGGCTGGGAGAGCAGAAGCTACAGGTTCATTTACAGACATAGCCCACTCTGACCTGAGACTTCACTTTCCTGGGTTTCAGTTATCCCAGGTCAAGTGAGGCCAGAAAATATTAAACAGAAAGTTCCAGAAATAAACAATTCAGAAATTTAAAATTGTGCTCTGTTCCGTGCAGCAGAATGGACTCTCTCTCGCCCTGCCCAGGGCGGATTTGTGCAGGGTCTCCACACCGCTGGCACTCCTGCTCCCTGGATACTTGGTAACTGGCTGGGTTATCACAGGCAGCCAGGTGTCCCACTCTGGCCGTGCTCAAGTCAAGTAACTGTCAACCTAAAATAACTAAGAGGCTCAGCTCCCGTTTGAGGGGTGTTTATTCACGGGCAGAACAGGAGAGTGGTGACCAGCACTCCTACGCAGGCAGGTGACCTGGTGCTGTAGGCAGGGACAGCAAGCAGGGCTGGCCCCTTACACCAGGTCTACCCCACATGTGATGCCCAACTGGCCGTTGTCACTCTCACTCTGAAGGGGTTGTTTAACATTCATTTTGTAAAGAGGCGACCCTTTCAGGATGCTGAGTCCATACCATGGGGCTGGGATTTGCAGGGAGCGCGGAAAGCCTGGCTACCAGGGAGGCTTCAGTAGAGAGGCCCGAGGCCATGTCACATGACTCAGTTTTCAGGACTTAACCTTTCCCCTGGCGTAATAAATTTGGAAGGTCCTGAAATTGTTTTCTTTTCACATAGCCCTAATTTCACTTAACAAAGGTCCTGAAGTGCTAAGCAGTGATGCTGGCGACCGGACTTGCCAAAGAGAAGCCACAAAACACTTCTTTAAGGGAAAGGGAACCTTGGCGTCCCTGGCTGGGGCTCAGTTTTACCCACAGTTCAGGCACCCACTGAGGGTCTTGTGCCCCAAGATAAGGTGGGACCTCTGTGCAGCTCCCAGGAAGTCCTTGAAGCCAAGGCCCTGCCTCAGGCACCCCCTGGGCTCCGTGCAGCCCACAGGCACCGTGTCTGGCTTCCTATCAATTTCAGAAGGGCCAGCAGCGCCCCCGTGAGCACTTAGCTTCCACCACAGCAACCAAGTCAAAGCAACGTGCTCTGTGAGCACAGCCTTGGGCCCTCAGCCCAGCAGGAAACTCCAGGAAACAGCGGTGTTTGCACCTAAAACCCAGAGTTTAAATCTCTGCTCTGTGGCCTGGAAAGCGCCATGCCATCCTTAAGGCCTGCGTGGGTTTCTGCTGTGGGTGCGTCCCATGAGGTGAGCGTGGCCCCTGGCTGTTGGGGAAGAAACAGACTCTGTGGGCTGAGAACTTCCCATCAAGATGGCATCAGCTCCTGCCTGGCCACGGGTGCTAAAGGCCGACCAGCTGTTTCTGTGACTGTTGAGACAACAAACCACCAACAAAGTGGCCTAAAAGAACAGAAAGAGATCTCTGCACAGTTCTGAGACAGGACAGAACAAATGCAAGGCCTGGGCAGGGCTGGGGGGGTCTGTCCTGGTCCCCGTCCCAGCTTCAGGGCAGCTCTAGGCCATCTCGGTGTACACATGTGTCACCCAGCTCTGTGTCTGTCCAACACGGTCCCCTCAGGATCTCTGGTCTGAAATCTCCCCTCCTTCCTCTCGTAAAGACACCAGTCATTGGATTTAGGCCACACTTTAAATCCTGGAGACCTCATCTCAAGATCCTTAACCTAGTTACATCTACCAAGACCCTATTTCCAGAAAAGGTCATAGTCATAGGTACCGAGGCTGAGGACATGTGTGCAATTGTGGGGGGCAGTGCCCCCCACCACAAGCTCCTCATGCCTCCTCCCGTACCTCTGTGTTCAGTCATCTGGTATCTTTCCTTCTCCTGTAACTCTGGGACCCAGGTATATGGGAAAGCTGTGTCTGTCCCCAGAGCAGGTTGGGCTCTAAGACCTCCTGAGGACACTATAGGTGGGGTGGGGCAGGGCCCAGGACCCCGGCCAGCATGCAGGGCTCTGGGGGGCTCCCAGGTGCTCCAGCAGCTCCCCCTTCTCCCCAGGTGCTGGGCTTCCTCTTCTTTGCCACTGCCTGCTTCCTGTACAAGCCCCCAGCAGGGTCTTCAGATGGCCTGGAAGCTTCTCTGCCCAGCCAGTCCTCAGCCTCCTGCAACCCCACGGACTTGCAGCTCCAGAGCGATGTCTGACCATCGACCCACCCACCACAGGGACACCAGCAGCCCCTTGGCACTTCCCAAGCTGTGCACACGTTCAGTTTCTTCTCTGAAGGGCCAACTTCTCACCCACGCTGCAGAGCTGAGGCCCTTGGAAAGGCATGCACTGGTTCTGGGGCCTATGGCGCTGTCTCTGGGGGGACTGGATCACAACATGAGGCACATCCAAGATGAAGCTCCTGAGCATGGCCCGTGGAGGCTCATGGCTGCCCACCTACCGGACTTGCCATGGGCCTCTGATCCAGAGTGAAGGCCCACATGAGACGTAGTTCCCCGGAGCAACTCTGCACAGGAACCTTCTGCTCGGCCTGTGGTTTAAAGTCTGCTGTGACCTCCTGTCCTCAGAGTGGAGTAGCTCTGCAGTTGGGAGCAATGTGCATAAATATAAATTTATGGACCATATTTTGCATAAGAGCATATTTATAGAATTTGTTTTGTACCGAGTGTGTGGGCAGGGGCTGTGACCCCAACTGGGAGGATGCAGGGCTGTCTGCCATGGAGGGTTTGTTTCTGTGTGTCCTAGTCAAAACTGCACATGTAATATATTTTCTTATTTAAACAAGATGTCCCTGTACGTGTGTTTTGCACTTGTCACTCTGTGGGATGTGGTGGTATTGCCATCCCGGGTGTGAGACCAGCAGAAGGCAGGTCCCTGACTCCCGGCCCCAGGCCACAATCCCAGTTCCCCCACTCCGGGGACATCCATGAATGACCTGGGTTCTGTCCTTGCAAATTCGAGTCCAGGATGGGGTAGCCGGACGCTGCTATTGGCACAGGAGAGTGTGTGTGCGGACACGTGTATGAAAGCTTGGGGGCTCTGTGTCTGCAGGGACTCCTGGGTGGCTGGGTGTCTGCAGGGACTCCTGGGTGGCTCTGTGTCTGCAGGGACTCCTGGCTCCTTCCAGAAGGGTGGTGAGTTGGGGCCGTGGCCTGACTCATCTGGGACCTTCCTTCAGCTGTAGGGGCTGTTAGTGGAAGGACCCAGGCTCTGTGACAACCATTTGGCCCCACATAGCTTATTTGCGGACTGATTCTGGGAGCACATTGGGTGGAGAGGGTGGGTAGGTGCCCCCTGCAGCAGCAACCACCCTGGGCTCCTGGGGGCTCCATCCAGCAGAGACCTCCAGGAGCCAGTGTAGAAAACTCACCTTATAGTTGTCCTGGAGCAGTCAGGCTGGTCAGGGGCCACTCCCAGGCCTCTGCCCCAGGTTAGGGTACAGGATCCCCAGGTGAAGGGGAGAGAGGCAGCCAGGTCCAGGCCATGAAGAATTTGCCCTGCATCCTGGCCACTCCTCTGGCTGCCTGGGGGCCAGATGTCCCCCCCACATCACATGCAAACCTGATCTTTTGCTGTGGCTGATATCCACCTGTCCCTTACAGGCCAGCCCTGCTTGGAGCTGATGCTGCCTAGGTCAGCAGCTTAGTTCTCTCAGACCCTGCTCCTCAGGCAGAGTCCTAGGACACACTGTCCATCTCTGGAGGGAGCTGACCAGCACCAAGAACAGTGGGGTGTGGGGGCCTGACCTGAGAGGGGAGAAGTGCAGATGCCTGGGCCCCCTGCAGAGGGCCAGATACTGCAGGCCCAGGACCTGCATCTTCACAGGACCCCACCCCAGCCACCCCCAGGGCTGCACCTACAGCACTGGTTCCCCCCAACAGCCTTGGATGTGTGTGGCAGGACCCTCATGGCAAAGACCCTGAGCAGCCTGAGCACCTAGGGCCCAGAAAGCCCAGAGCCCATTACCCACCAAGAACCTGCCTGTGGCCTGAGAATGTTGAGTGCTAGGATCATAACGCTGACAAAATCCCTTCTTGCAAAACCCATTGAGCACATCTTGAGTTCTCTGTTTACTAAAATGTAGAGGCAGCCGCAAGAGCATCCCCAGTCATGGGTGAAGTTTCAGCCTTAAGCAAATTTGGAAAATGGGGTGTTCGTGGAGCAGAAAAATCAACCCCTCTTTGCCATGGGTAGGCATCAGTGCTTAAGTGACATAAACAGAATTTGAAAGGACAGGCAGAGAACTCCTGAGAAGATAGCAAAGGTCTCACAGCATCACAAGCCGCAAGTCACAGGGCTGGCGACCAAGCACCAGGGTCTCGCCCAAACCTGTCTTAGTCAGGCCAGTCACAGGTCGGCCTTGGTCACCACATGGGAAGAGAGGAAGCTGGAGACACCTGGGGGCTCAGGACAGCCTGATGTGGAGACCATCCTGAAGGGGAGATAGTCTGGGAGCCACCAAGTGCCTCCTGTCAACCAAGGCTTGAAGGAGGGATTGGGACCCCTGTCTGCAGAGTAAATGGGTAGAGTTCTGGGTGGGATGGATCTTTGCACCACCCTGACTCTGGTCTGAATCCAGCAGCCAGAGGTACCTTCCATAGCGCAGTCAGGTCAAACTGTGCCCTGGCTGAGGCAACCCCTGCAACAGCCATCATGACCACACACAGCCCAAGCCTTGCCCCAGGGCTTCTGCAACTCCTCATCCCCTAGATGGCCCCAGGGCTCTTCCTTGGCCTCCTCCCCAGCCTTTGGTCATGAAGCCCCATCACTGTGGGCAGAATGGCAGCCCACGCCCCACTCCGCACTCTCACCCTGCCCCCTCTCTAACTAGTGCTGCGTGTCCAACCACGCCCCACTCTGCACTCTCACCCTGCCTGTGCCCCCTCTAACTCGTGCTGTGCACCCTACAACACCTCACTCCGCACTCTCATCCTGCCTGTGCCCCCCTTCTAACAAGGGCTGAACGCCCCACCATGTCCCACCACGCCCCACTCTGTACTCTCACCCTGCCTGTGCCCCCTCTAACACCCGCTGTGGCACCCCACAGGTTTCATTTTGTTCACTCAGATCAGTGCCTGCAGCACTGTCAGTTCTCAGTAACTGCTTGCTGAATGATGAGAGGGCCTGGCCCAGGCCCCATTCTCCCCACAGTTCCTCACCTATAATTCGGGAGTGTCTCTCCCCTGAGGGGACAGTGGGGCATCAAGTGAATTTACAGGCCCCTTGAGTGGGAGTGTGCACCATGCCCAAGTGGCTTCCCCAGACACGCACACTCACACTGCCTGTGTGCTAGTGGATAGGGGCTCTGAGCCCAGCCCTGAAGTTGGGGTGAAGTCCTGGCTATGCCCCTTACAAGGAACCTTGGGTGGGTGACATTACCCTTGTCCCAGTGTTCCCATCTGCAAAGGGGACTGGTCCTGAGACCCCCCCTCGTCATGGGGTATGATGAGGACTGTTCATTTCATCCACGCAGAGCTTTGGGGCACCACTGGCCACAGCATGCTTCATGGGTCCAGGGCATGTACTGAGCCTGTTCTGGCCCTGAAGAGCCAACTGGGAAGGTGGGTGAGGACTTCCAAGGCATGTCCTCTCCTGCCAGCTCCTTGGGGGACACAGAAGATGAACCATGGGCGCAACTGCTCTGAGCAATGATTTGCATTTAGATGCGTTGTCTGAGAGCCGGCCTGTGACAGCGCTTAATGACTGTTGTAGATAAATCCCCTTTGTTCTCAGCTGTCTCCTGCAGTAATTACATTTCTTTGTGTTCAACTCATAACTTGATCATTTATTCTGGTTCATGTTGGGCTTGGACCACGGGCTCCTGAGGACCGAGGTGAAGGTGCTGAGCCTGAGCACTGCTCTGCCTTGGCCATATCTGGTGGTGACAAGACCACAGACCTCTCCAAGGTGCTCATGGGGACAGCTGCTCCTGGTGCGGTCCCAGGCACCTGGCCAGGACAGAAGCCAGGAGAACAGCGACAGTTACAATGACAATGTAACAGCAGGAAGGCAACAGGTCAGTCCTGCAGCACATGACCATGTTTCTCTCAGCCATGGGCCCACGATACAAGGGTGTTGTCCCCTGAGGCTGCCCACCATGTTGCCACTGCATCTTTTCTGTGCTCACATGCATGAGTACCTGGCACTGTGTGGCGGCTATTGGCAGTGGCCAGCCATTGGGTTGTGCCGGTTGTGGCCTCGGCTGCATCACTGTGAGCTACGATACCACTCCATGTATAATTCCAAGGACAGCGTCCCCTGATCCAGCCTCAGGACGTGCCCCAGTCTCATTCAACAGAAGGCTGCATTAGACAAGAGGCTCATCACACACCCGCCCTCCCAGAGCACAGTGGGGGTTTCTCAGCCTTTGGGGCAGACTCAGGGGTCCTGGGCATTTTACTCAACCTTTTCACAGTTTCCCTATCTCCAAAGCCGGGCTATACCACAGCGTCAGTTTCACTGAGGCGTCTGGGGTCCAAGAGTTTTGGTGTGTGTCTATTAAATAACTAAACCATCATTACCCTGCTTGGCAGGTGTGGAAACTGAGGTACAGGGTGCTGACTGACTTTGGGGGACACAGCTCCTTGGGGCACACAGAAGATGAACTGTGCCAGACAGCTCAGCAGTCAACACTGGCCAGGCCACACTGGCTCTTCTCCCCCGAATGTCCATCTGTGGAATTTGGGACACCAGTGCCTCCACTAGAATCATGGGGACCTCTTTGTGAACCCCAAATCCAGCCCCCCTCACCCCACTGGTCTGGAGTCTCTCTGAAGGGTCTCTCTGCTTGCATCACAGGCCACCAGTTGTTACTTAAGTGAAGTCCCTTGAGTTCCACCCTCCTCACACCCCCAGCTGATCTTCTGGGACATACAGGAGGCTGCACCCCCACCCCCAGAGTTGTTTATTCCCTGAGGGCCATCAGGGTCTTTGTGATTGCACAGCAGCCGCCAGGCAATCACCATCCCTGGAAGTTGTTCTCTCATCAGGGGCCAATCAGCCCAGCCCCCTTCCTCACCCCAGGGGCCCTGGTGAACACAGGTGCCAACTGTGCCTCGGGCAGCCACAATCATGACGATTGCTGTTTATTTCCCACTTTTCCCCTGAAGGGCGTGGAGCAGCAGTGCCCACAGCTAACTCTCCATGGGGTCCTGCGGCACCATCCAGGCAAAGACCAGAAATGGCCACAGGGCAGCCAGGGTCAGTGGAGGCACTGGTGTCCCAAACCCCACAAATGGACGTTCTGGGGAGAAGAGCCAGTGTGGCCTGGCCAGTGTCGACTGCTGAGCTGTCTGCCATGGCCTAATGAAGTGAGTCGTTTACTTGTTTTGTCTTGTTTTGTTCTTAAGGAAGAAGAGATGAATTTAGAAAGCTATAAAACACAGCTTGTGCCTTACAAATAGTTCTCCTCTAATTGGGTCTTTACCAAGGCCGTGATGGATGTCGAGGTCTCGGCGTTCTGAGGACCTATGCCAAAGCACCCTCTTCTCCTGGAAGGAAACACATCTATCTCTGACAACAGGGTAGAAAGGGAGAGACAAAGGACCAAGGAAGCAGGGGAGGTGGATACATACCTGGGAAGCACAGCAGGGGCCTTCGTTTCAAAATTAGGGTTTTATGTTAAATGTGTGAATGAGCCTATTCTGTTATAAGGGAATAAGGAGCCCAGGCCCAGGGCAAGGGGGCTGCCCAGGCCTCGGAAGCCTCCTCTCCCCTTGTCTTTCTCCACCCCCACCCTCCGTTCCCCCTCCTTCCTCTTCTCCCCCCTCCCCTCCTGCTACCCC